GAAGCGACGAGTGAAGAATGGTTGGGATATATGCAAGGTGCATACCATACTGGATACAAGCAAGCAAAAGCTATCGCTGCAGCTATCAAGTGCAAGGATGAAAAGATTTGTCCGGGTTCTAAAGCCACGAGAATGGAACCTGTTATATGTATTTTTGTAGTCATTCTGACATGGTTCTTCTGCATTGTTTAATCTATGTTCAAGTTCAAGAAAAAAAAATCTTGTATCACAACATCATGATTCACAATAAATTCTTTCGTGGATCATTCAGTTAAGAAAGGTTAGAGCTGCGCTTTTTTTCGAAATAAAAAAGCACGTACTAGAAAATATATTAAAATGTCCAAAACTTGGAATTGAACACATTAATTAAAAGATAACAAATCACAAAGTAGTTTTACTCCGATCCTTTCCTTCCCTTTCCAMSGGGCAGAACGTTATCTTCAGTTTGCAGATGATTTCAACTGAAGTCGTTAGATAAAATATCGATCGAATAGAAACGTCTGTTATATATATTAAACCAAAAAATACCTAAAGACATTGCGACGAGATTTAGGTTCATAAAGTTATCAGTTTTGTTGAGGAGACATTTAAACTGGAATTGTATCAACACGTAATCATCGTGATGTACACCAAATGTCCAAGAAAAAGAATTTTGCTTTTAAGGATCCAATTAAAATACCAAAGAAGGTGTTCAGCTTCAATGCTCATCTTCATCTTTGAATGTAAAAATCGCTAATAATTTGGTCACCATGCAGACGTTCTGCGAGCTCCAGATTTCGGCTGATAAATGCAGAATTTTGGAATGCTCCTAAAGGATAAGAATGTTATGTTTCGATATTATGACAACTTATCAGCATAGCTTCTGAAATTCCAGACGGGTCCCAGACGAGTTTATTTTGCAAACTTATTAAATCACGTGATTGTAAAGGAAGAATATAGTCACTTGAAAAAGGATTTTCTTTACTTCAACCATGGAACCAAGTCACTTTGTGATGTTTGTCCTCCTTGGAGCCGTTGCTGTTCCTTATTCAGTTGATGCTAAGCAGCCACACAAAAAAGTCCTTATTCTTGGCGCGGGCTTGTCAGGGATTGTGGCTGGGAAGACGCTCAAAGACCAGGGGATTGATGACTTTTTGGTTCTCGAGGGACAAGATTACATCGGAGGGAGAATCAAACAGGTATTTTAATTGTATAGCGTTTATAGCGGATATATTTTTGCATTCCCAACTCAAGAGTTTATAGGAGATACACTAGGAACGCTGTCAGATTTTAATGATTTAATTAAAATACAAGAAAGTGTTCAGCTTCAGTGCTCAACTTATGTCTTTGAACGTAACCCAAGTTAGTAGATCCCTTAATCTCAGGACGTTTTTGTAATTAGAGGGTCAATCTATCAGAATGGTGACCGTACTATATTGGTTTTCGTGGCGAGGTTATTTTCATGCCAAGTTTGATAAAGAGAAAACAAATGAATTAGCAGTCGAAAGAGAACACTTATCTGCTATTTTCTTGTTTCCGAAGATTGGCGACCGTTGATGACCGTTGATTTTAGTGATACTTACAAGGTGAAGCCTCTTGTCAAGTTCGCATGCAAAGAAAGCTTAGTATGTTCACCCTATATGTTCGCCTAATTTGACCATTAAATCTCACATAGTCAACGYAGTGTCCTAGTATTTATTTTAAGGCTTAATAAAACGATCGAAAGTATTCAATGTGGCATCCACCATGTTGGAAGATAGGAGTCGTCTTTCCACATGACTGATGCATACATTTTTTACCACCAAATACCACGCATATTCAATCGCACTATGTTTCTCACTTAGTAAAGTCATCCAGGGAGAATTGTTAGCACATGTCAGATTGAAAACTTGTGAGAACAACAAATAACTAAAAATCATGAATATACACTGAATTTCAGGCAGAAATATCTGGRTYCMAAATTGAGGAAGGAGCCAACTTCATCCACCATTTTGACACTAAGGGAACTGCGCCGTTATGGAAAGAAAAGCAAGCCAGCAATCTGGATGGAATCTCGATTTCAAATTTTTCTACATCGATCTTTAGGCAAGTTAAAAACCGAGATCGGAAAGGGTGTATGCAGTGAGGACTAAAAAGAAATAAGGAAGCCATGAAAACCATGTTCGAGTGAGTAGCTTGTTCAGGTTGCCATTGAGATGCTAACGTTTTTAACTGAACAGAAATGAAACCGGCGCACTGGTTTATGACCGTCCCAGCTATACAAAGTTGGTAACAGCTCTCTCAAAAACCGCTAAGACAATAGAAGAAAGACGAAAAGAAAACAAGAAACCAATTTCAGCTCGTGAAGGACTTTCTCTCCTTGGCTGGACACCTAGCACTCCTTTTCAATATGCCCTGGAGTGGTTCAAGTTTGATTCTATGTTTGCGAAAAGTGTGGAACTTATCCCGTTTAGCTCTTTGAGAGGATATTCAGGAGGAGGAGGAGGAAAAGACTTCTTTATCACTGACCAGCGTGGGGTGATCCAGCTCTACAAAGATCTTTACAAAGGATTTGAGAGTAAGATTAAGTTGAAYAAAACGATTGTTGGAATCAMGTACAATTCCAGCTACGTGGAGGTAAGTCATGTTAAGTTTATTGTGGCGCTAGAAGTGACGTTGCGATGTTTATTTATAAGCAGCATACCATGAATATTATATATATGTGGGAAAGACGAATCTGGATAACTTGCCTGGCAAAAAGCGGTAAAACTGGCAAAAATTGTAAAACATAGCACTATAGCTTTGAAGGAGACCAAACAAATATGCATTAAAAAAAAAAAACAAAAAAAAAAAGCAATTCTTCTTGCAGGTGACTACCAAAGATGGAGAAGTGTACACTGCCGACTTTGTACTTTGTACATTCAGCACAGGAGTTCTTGCCAGTAACATGGTTACATTTACTCCTCCATTGCCAGATTGGAAGAACAATGCCATTGCGAATAGGCCGCTTGGTGCTTTTACCAAAATATTTGTCAAATTTCCAAAGAAATTTTGGGATGACGATTTTTTCATTGGACTTGCAAACAAGCAACGAGGATATTATCCAATTATCTTGGTACGGTTTTGTCTCTTTTTTTATTTTCTTCAGCCTTCCCGTTCTTTCTTTGCCTCACCTTTTTCTTTTGACATTCCTTTTATCTTCTCGTGAATGATTCGACACACCGAGGCACTGCCTTATTATGATCTGTGCTTTTGGAACATTTCCCATGTGCATAATGTCGTTTTTCTCCTCCCAGAATCTAGACATAAAGGGGGCATTTCCAGGAAGTGGCCTAATGATGATGGCTGTGGCTGGCGATCAGGCTAGAAGGATCGAGAAACAATCTCTTCAGGACACCAAAGCTGAGATTGTTCAGCTTCTGAGAGGAGTTTATGGGCWAAATATCAGTGAACCAACAGGTGAGGATCAATAAAATATAAACCAACCTTYTTTTGCTGAACCCTTTTCCGGATAAGATCTTTACTGACATGGYTCATGTTTTTTATAGATATCCACTACGGGCGGTGGACTCAAAACCCTTACGTACGAGGTGCTTATTCAGACGAAAAAATAGGATCCATTGCATCGAAAACATCTGCGGATTTACAGAAGAACCTAGGCAACGTGTACTTTTCAGGCGAAGCGACGAGTAGAGGATGGTTTGGATATATGCAAGGTGCATACTTTACAGGAGAGAATCAAGCAAAAGCTATCGCTGCAGCTATCAAGTGCAAGGATGAAAAGACTTGTCCGACTTCTAAAGCCACGAGAATTGGACCTGTTATATGTATTTTTGTAGCCATAATGACATGTCTCTTGTGTATCGTGTAACCGTGAAGATTGATTCTCGTCAAAGTGAATAACTTCAGAATACAATTGTTATAAGACAACATTTATTAAATAGCATTCGTACGTCTATATTAATATCTTATTTTCAGTAGTCGTTTGTGACTGCATGTTTAGCTTTCACTTCTCCCTAATCTGTATCATTAATTCAAATATTCAATGAAACTTCAGAATCATGAACCAAGTTTAATTGTATAACGAGACTACAAGGCACCTATGTGAATTCCCCTTTCATTTACTGGGATATTTCCACATGTCTTATTGTTGCTAAAAGATACACCCATTTTAACTAAACCCCTCCTTACGCGTCGAGGCACACCCCTGAAGCCCTTCGCTAGTTTAAAGCCTTGTAGCTTTGTAATTCTACATATATCTTTAATTTAACTTGATAGAAAGTTAGTTCTCTATTAGAGCTATCTTCTGTCTTGATTTCATCTYTTAATTGCACATAAAAGTATCTTGGGGCATAGCATTTTCGTCCCACTCTCGGTTGGACACCTCATTAGTAATTCAATCTTAAGTATGTCAAACGTATATCTTATCCAATCATATTACAACCTAGCCTGCCAATTCGCTGTCATTCCAGCTTGTAAGATATTTACTATATAGGAAGATTCACATTTTGTATAGCTTAGACGAGTTAGAAGCTGCAAGCAAGTTGTAAGAAATCTGTGTTGGTGTCTCTCTCAATAAAACCTTTTGATCCAAGTACCTGCTTTACTGAGTAAATCCCACAGTGTACAAGAAAAGTCTTGTAACACAATGATAAATATTTAGACTTTTGGAAATATTTATTGTTTTATTGCTATTAGCTATTTCGGATGAACACGTAACAGATTACCCCACTATTCAGGCATGTCACAGTACAAAGCACGAATGACCGTTTTATTAGTTCTGGAAATTTTGTAATTAGATATTTCGTTGGTAATTCATTTAGTTTTTCTTGGAAATAATTAATAAAAGGTTTTAACTAAGGCAATGATTACATTTTTCCAGCTTTAATTGAACGTTTTGTTTTCGTCCTTCAGAATATATTTTATTCCTTTATTCGTGGATGATGAGCAAGCTGGACCTCTGACTTGCCGATCTACTAAYAGAATGAAAAGGAAAAGCTAAAACGGCTTAGGATGACTATTTTAACGGACACCAAAAAGGACTACAACTCCCATCATGCATTTTTTACAAAATGGCGTCGTTGCAGATTTTCCCTAATAGAATGTCAATCACTTTTTTATAGTTAAAATTCACGACATTATTTGTTGGTTTTTTAGCATTTTTTCAATTTCGTTTTTTTAATTATTATGTTATTATATCACTTCTTTATATAACTGTGGTACAAAAAGCTATTATCCCCTCCCCCATGGGTATAGCCCGGTGAAAAGCTAGAGAAAACGATCAGACTGTATATATAACATTTCAAAAATTCCCATGACCCGGATGTTTACACAGACGCTGCAAACTGCTGTGTCCGCAGTTTAACAAGCTTTTAAATGTGGACAAGGTCTAAGTCTAAAAAAAAGAAATAACTCAGTTACTTGCAATAATGATCCCACTTCATCAGGTTGACTCTAATGGCTACAGAGGAGTACTATTGGTGGCTTCTTCACAGCCTTTGTTGTTTTCGCTTCGAAAAACGAAAGTTATGACATCGGAGGCGGCTTTAAGAGCTTCGTCCTGTAAGCGAGAAGAAAAAGAACAACAATTACTTGATAATCCTTGTGTAAATGACATAGTGTGACAGGCAAAGGCATCATTTATTAAGATCCTACAATACCTGTCCGCTTCATCTCAACCTTTTTTCGGCATATACTACAACTATCAGAATGCTTTGCCCACGTTCTTTTAACAATAGCATAGCTGATAACAATGCTCCTTTCGCCTAACGACGGAGAAAAAAACGGAAAAGACTAGGAAAAACCCTCGAAGCAWGGGAGAGAACGAAAGAAACTCAAATCACAATGGCTTCCCGACCGAGATTCGAACAGTGTCCGAAGAGGTGGCAGGCCAGCGCCCTTATCGCTCGGCCGCCCTTGCTTCGCTAAAACACTCTGAACATTCTGCTAGTTCCAATCAAATGATGAAATCGCTAAATGGCTCATAGTTTCTCCGCCCTTGTGACGTCATATTGATGTGGCGAAGTGCATCATGGTATTGATAAAAGTATCAAGACGACAGAGCTTTGAGGATGAGGACCTTGAGGATGAAGACCGAACTGAGCAACACGTATGTACTTACCACTTCATTATCCATATCTTCAAGGGGGTATTCAAAGTGTTGCCATTCCATTAACTCAGCTATGGATGTGTGTTTCTAAAGCATAACACAACATTTTAAAATTATGGAAACTAGCGGTGTGAGCTGCGTCGGTGTTTCTAAAGAAACAATTGTGTAAAAAGATAAATTTAACACCGTAAAAAAAGGATGTGAAATAAAAATTGAAAAGAAACAGTTGTGTAAAAAGATAAATTTAACACCGTAAAAAAAGTATGTGAAATAACTTACTGACGTTTCGGAGGTTTTAAAATCCTTCGTCGGAGTAAAGAGATGGAACTAGGTATAGTGTGTGTATGTGTTTTTTACGGTGTTAAATTTATCTTTTTACACAACTACAACTATTTTTATCAGAAGACTATTGCTTAGACTTCCTTTACCCTTCCTCCCGCCCAAACGCTTTGAAAGGACCACTGATTTATATCCACATGAAGTACAAACCCATTATTTTGCAGTTGTGTAAAAAGATAAATTTGACACTCCTTCGTCGGAGTAAAGGATTAACGTCCGAAACGTCAGTAAGTTATTTCACATACTTTTTTTACGGTGTTAAATTTATCTTTTTACACAACTGTTTCTTTTCAATTTTTATTTCACATCCTTTTTTTACGGTGTTAAATTTATCTTTTTACACAACTGTTTCTTTAGAAACACTAGTTTACCGCTAGTTCCCACCATTTTACCATTATTTTGCAGTCTTCTCAACCAATGCAATAATGTTCTAAACTGCACTTGCACTTGTGCCGAATTTGGTTTAAAGCACTTCTTTTGTTTGCATTGAATTCAGTACATGATATTCGGCACTTAAAACGGCCCCTTGTGATAATTTTTTTAACCAAGAGCTGATCGGCTTATAAGATTGATTCAATAACAGGACAGACGCACTGTCTTGACACCATTACATCACGCGCGTGCGCTCTATAGACCTAATCGACCAACGCGATTTCACCCGGGAAGTTTCATTGTTCGTTGTATTTTTATTTCACGGTTGAATTCATAACAACAAAAGTTCTTTTTCCCACATGATTTGAATTTGGTGGTAAGGTACATGGCAACGCGTTAGCCGATTAGGTCTATTGCAAGAAAAGTATGATTTTCGCCAATTTTCAGACTAAAAATGTGGTAAMAAACCATAGTTATATTAACTATGAAAAAAACAAAATGTTCAAAACTTGAGGTGGGACAATTCTATGACTTCAATAGGAGGACATACAACTTTTAAGTTTTTTTTTTTTGGTTTTTAAAAAAACCATGCAAAGTTTGACAAAAAACATGGTGGGAAATGCCAATTTCGCAATTGTAAAGAATGCCTCCACAATGACTAATATACCTTTTCCACGCGATTGCTGACACCTAACTGACAACTTCTAGCAAGTGAAGTAGTTTGTGGCTGACTTTTCGTTGATAACTCGTTCTCGCCCTAAAAACAAGACCTGGTGAGTCTCTGTAGTTTGTTGGGAGTCTGGGAGCGTTTTTTATTTTATTTTTCATGGATGACTCTTTATATGTTTATAGAAATTTAATTTTATTATTAAATCAGAAAAAAAGTGTTAAATCAACGCCAGATCAAGAGAGTTACTTGCCTGTGATTCTGTACAGCTGCATTGAAGAAGATCATGCGTGGCACATGCAGTGTTTTCATGTAGTCTGAACAAGTCCTATATTTAACAAAAGGCATCAGTAAAAGGCCAACTACTGCACCTACTAGAAAACCCTAACCAACCAGTAACTACTGGACTACCAATAAAACCATAACCAACCAGTAACTACTGGACTACCAATAAAACCATAACCAACCAGTAACTACTGGACTACCAATAAAACCATAACCAACCAGTAACTACTGGACTACCAATAAAACCATAACCAACCAGTAACTACTGGACTACCAATAAAACCATAACCAACCAGTAACTACTGGACTACCAATAAAACCATAACCAACCAGTAACTACTGGACTACCAATAAAACCATAACCAACCAGTAACTACTGGACTACCAATAAAACCATAACCAACCAGTAACTACTGGACTACCAATAAAACCATAACCAACCAGTAACTACTGGACTACCAATAAAACCATAACCAACCAGTAACTACTGGACTACCAATAAAACCATAACCAACCAGTAACTACTGGACTACCAATAAAACCATAACCAACCAGTAACTACTGGACTACCAATAAAACCATAACCAACCAGTAACTACTGGACTACCAATAAAACCATAACCAACCAGTAACTACTGGACTACCAATAAAACCATAACCAACCAGTAACTACTGGACTACCAATAAAACCATAACCAACCAGTAACTACTGGACTACCAATAAAACCATAACCAACCAGTAACTACTGGACTACCAATAAAACCATAACCAACCAGTAACTACTGGACTACCAATAAAACCATAACCAACCAGTAACTACTGGACTACCAATAAAACCATAACCAACCAGTAACTACTGGACTACCAATAAAACCATAACC